CGTCGGCAATAATTACACCATTTCTTGAAAGATGGTTTGCCTTTAAAGTTCGGGTTCTTTTCGTAAATATTGAGTATTTCAGTGATTTTTTCAACGAGATCTGTTTCTGATTCTTGTATATTATTAATATTAGTGGGAGTCGTTTCAATTTTGTTAACGTATTGTAATTTCAAATTCTCCGTTTCTTCTAGTTTCATCGTGATTTCTGCTTGTTCTAGTTTGTCTACTAGTTTTCTAAAATCTAAATCGGGTTCTCGAATTGAAGAAGGATGGGATGCTCTCTTTTTTATTGCTATTTTCCTTAATTGTGGTGTTAAGGTCATCATTAAGATTTCTGTCATCTTAGTGTTTTTATAGTCGTGTGTATTTAGTGAATATGCTTTTCGAACTAGTGTTTCGATTCTTACTGCTATTTGTTTGATGGTTTCGTTTGGTAATCTGCGAATTTCATTACATAAAACTCTTTGTTGTTGTTTGTTTCTTTCGGAGTCAAACATTTTTGAAAATTCTTGTGTAAATCTTTTCCAGTTTGATTTTATTTCTTGAGGTAGTACTGAAAACCATTTTTGTGCTGCGCCATCTAAGGTTGTTTGTATCAACGCTGTGCGTCGATGTATCCAGTTTTGATGTAGTGGCGTATTAATTGGTTCAGGTCCTATATTTAAAATCAAATTTGCTGTTACTGCATTTAAGTAATCTTCTACAGAGTATTCAGGGTCTGTTCCTGTGAAAACCATTAAAGGTTTGTTTGATGTTATTGATGATCCACTCATAAGGTATGGATTCATTGTCATTTGTAATGATTCAGCTGCATTTGGCATTTGAGAAAAATTTGAAAGTTGGTTTCTTGTTATTTCATGTTGTTGAAGATAATACGGGAGTGGTATTTCATTTTGCATTTGTGATGGTTGATACGAGTGTGTAGTCATTGGATTTTGTTGTTGAATTGGTTGAAAAGATTGTGTATTAATTGGATTTTGTTGTTGAATTGGTTGTTGATATTGTGCATCTATTGATTGTGGAGAAAAATTTCTATGATTTGTACGTGTTTTCTGTATTCCTTGTCTACGATATTCTTGAGTATTTGGTGCAAATATATCTGGTTGTAAGAAATCTTCATCTGAGGATAAATAATCCATTTGATAAGATGTTTGTTTTTTATTTTTATTTTGTTGAAAAAATGGGTAATTTCCACTGCGATCCTGTGGAGGATTTGGTTGAAAATTTGTGGAATTATATTGGGCCGTTGGGTTATCCCAGTTTCGAGGTTTTGTATATTGATTAAAATTCCTTTGTGGTTGATAATTTGTTTTTGATGGATGTGTATAATTATAATTATGGTCTGCAAAGTTGTTTCTAGTGAATGTTTTGCGTGTTTTTGATGGTATTGTCATGGGTTTGTATGTTTGGTAATCCATATGTGAATATTTAGGGGCAACCGAAGGTTTAACGGTTGATTGTAAGGTTACCTGTGTTTGTGAAGGATTTGTATTTCTTGGTGTTGTTAAATTTGGGCGTATTGGTGAAATACTTTGTTGTGTAGTTGTTGTGTGTACAATTTCTTCATTTATGAAGTGTGATGGTGTCTGGATATCTTGTTGAGTAAGATTCCTAGTTCCATTGAGGTTTTCATTGTGTATGACTGTAGAGTTTAAACTATTATTTTGTGTATCGGGTAAAAATGTATTATAGTTTAATGGTGTTGCATCAATTGTTAATGGTATTACTCTTACATAATCTCTTATGTAAGATATTGTACTTATTGCTTGACTTGAGATTGATTGTGGGAAGCTTATAAATGCTGGATGAGACCATTCGGGGTCCCAAACATAATCTGATTGTTCTGTGATAGCGGTATCATCGTTCGAATTTTGGGGTCTAAAATTTTTTCTTGCTTGTGCAATTAAATCAATATTGTGTGTGAAATAATCTATTATGAACCATGCTAAAATTTTTTGTAAATCGTGTTTGGTATGTTGTGAAACGTCGTCTTTCGTGAAATTTTCTTTAATAATGTTTAAATAACTAGAGAGTAGTGTGATTTCATGTCGTACTCTTAAATGTTTAGATGTTTCTGTCGGTGAGACATTTGTTAATGGGAGTTCATTTTCTAATATCGAAATATAACTATATATTAGTGCGAAAACTTCATTGGTGAAAATGGAGTTTGCTCTTTGTGAGTTATGGTATTGGATGCTTTTTATATATTCTGAAAAAACTTTTGAAAATTCTAAATCAAGGTCGTCTGTTTGAATAGTATATGTTCTATTATTATGGTTTGGGGAAGTGAATTCTATAGAGTAGATTCCATACTGTTGTGTTATGTTGCATATATCTTTTAGATAGTGATCTATGATTTGTCTTTTGATTTTTACATCGGGGAACTCTGTTTTACATGGACTGATTCCGGGTTCAAATAAATTTACGAGTAAATTTTGACAAAATATGTGTTGTCCTCTATCAGTATCTGCATCTACTATAAAAGGAAAGATTTCATCATCATCTGGAGTTTCGTCACCTGGGGTGTGCGTTGAACTCATTTTTTCGTTCGATGACTGTTAATATGTAATTATTAATGTGTCGAATTGGTTGATTCCAATTGTATAGATGTACTGGTTTGTGTTTATACTGCTTTTTTATTCTTCTTTTTCCTCTTTGTGATGAATTTGAAGTTGTTTCTGAGTCAGAAAAATATAATTGATCGTGTTGTGGGCAATTTTTATCTATTGATTCTTTTAGTTTGTAAAGTTCGTCTAAACTGTTGGTTTCTGATTCTGAAAATGCGTTTCGATTTTTTGAAAATCTTTTTCGTGTTATTTGTCTTTGTTTAGTTATTATTTTTCTCTTTAGTGTTTGTCGTTTTGTTCGAATGTATCCAATTGTTTGTGTATGAGGTGTGATTACAAGGTCGTATTTTTTGTTATCTATTTCACAATTGTGTAAAATGATTGTTTGTTTATTTCCTAGGTTTTTAAATGACATAAGGTTTAGAATGACTGATGCAAAAGGTTGTTAAATGATTTCTATTGACTTAAACTGTTAGTTCTTACGATTTTTTGGTTAGCTTAACCTGGGTCTAGTTGTTCAGGGTTGGAGAGAAAAGTATATCGATTCCGAAGAATGATTTTTACTTTCTCGTGACTAGTATAAGCTAAGGTGTTAACTTACTTAATCTTACTTAGGGGTAGTGATTGTGTTCAAGGGTTGGAGAGTAGTAAATCGATCCACAAGGTTCAGGTATAATTAGAACGCGAGTAGTTCGTTAGATACTATTTTAAACTTACTAAGTCTAAGATTTATCCTGGGTCTGGTAAGAGGAGGGGTCAAGTGAAGGATGAATAACCGAAGTTCTTCACTGTTTATCCTAATTTGAATGATTAGTTTTGTTTAAAAATTTCTATTAGTCTTGGGTTTTTAGAAAGGGTTGGGTAGTGAATCGACGTTTGAGGTCGTTAGACACTAATTAAGTGGGTGGGGGAGAACAAAGTTGTTCTGTTTGATCCAAGGATAAGCCTTGATGATCAAATTTAAAATTTAATTAAGTAGAAAATTATTTAAGATCCAAGGATAAGCCTTGATGATCTGATTTTAAATTAAGTGACTTTGAATTTTTATAAAGTTTTAAATTTGTGTAAAGGAAAGATTTAGTGTTTTGATGATATTAGTGGGTTTATGATTGCTGTTATGTTTTAGGTGATGAAGCTGGAACAACAGGATGATTTATGATTACTAACCATTTATTGTCATGCTACTAATTTTTATTTTTATTTTCCAATAAATATTCTTCAAACATGTTTTGTATAATACTGCAGAATTTTAGGAAAACGATCTTAGATCTTTTTATCAATCGTTATTGTATAATATTAATTTGTTTAGCGCCTGAAATGATTTTGAAGATTTACTTCAAGGTTTTATGTTTGCAAATGGAAATCTAAATTCATTGCAAGTAGTATTCGAAATATAAAGGTTTGTTCTGGCTTTTGCCGAACTATCATATAACTATACGGCAAGTTTCTACTTTGTCGTATGTCGTCTTTGGTTCGATGTCTTCTTCCAATTCCGGGTAGTTCTATTATGGTTCGGAATATTGGCTCTGATCTATTGAGTCGGAGAGACATTTCAATTAAATTATTGTCGTATAACATTTTGTAAATGTTTTTGTCTAATTTCTAATCTAATTTTGGTTAATTCTAATCTAGTAAGGTCTTGTTCGAGACTTATGGTCGCACCAGATGAGTTATGTCTGGGGTGTATAACTCATAGAGTAATTTCGGATAGGGTACACCGTCTGCTCGTCACGCTATCTTATTTTCGGCCGGATAGATTCGTGCAACTTCTTAGTCTAATACCGATCCTAATCTTACTCTTATACTATCTAGTCTCAGGTTGTTTAACTAGTCTCTGCTAGGCTCAATAGATCTAGGGTATACTGGTTTATTGCGGCTGCTGAAGTGCTCGGGAGAGTCCAACTAATTTCTAAGTTAAATTCAAATCTCTCTGGTGCTGAAATTACAAGTAACTTCAGCACTTACAAATAAGTGGGTTGTTAGTTAGATGGATCATGATTGGTTAATATTAAATACTTTACATTGGTAAAACATTTAATTTATCCAATCATAAAATATAGTTTAGATCAGGTTCCAGTTCGAACAAAGGATGTGAACTGAATTTAAAAAAAGCCGAAGTCAAACAGCGAAAAAATAAATTTGAGCTGGAACAAATTTTAAGACCTTTCTGAGCTTAAATCATCACGACCTGCTAAATATTCTGAACTACGTTTTTCGACTCTTAATAACAAAGCTAATTTCTGTTGCGAGATTGAGTACAAAAATAAAATTTGAACAAGTTCGTCACTGTTGCAAAGTAAAGTGTTTTTACGCAACAAGATTTTTTAAGTCAGTTTTTATCAAAAAAAAACATAGTCTGTTTTAAGCTCAACTGATCTTACTTTATAACCTGGCTCTTGTATTGCTTTTTGAAAAAAAATGGTTTTGTGACACTTTTACTATAAAAAATAATAGGTTAAATGAGGTGAATATGTATTCTAATATTCAAATCAATGTTTGTTAATATTCATAATCTGTAAAAGCACGTGAAAAGGATACTTCGGAAATGTTAACAGATAGAATTAGGTGAGAGTAACTAAAATCATTGTTAAAATGCAGTCACACTAGTGTATTTTCTGTAAATTTTGTGTATTTTGTAAAAATTTGTGTATTTTCTAGTCTTTTCTATGAATTCACTATAAAAGCATACATGATAGATATTTTCAAAGTATTCATGCGTAAAGCAGGAAAGTGTGATCTAAACATCAGTCAAACAGTGTCATTTTCAAACTGGATTGATTTTAATCTTCAGCTCGATCTCTTGAACACCTCGACTGCATTGAACAGAAACAGGTCTCCATCCAGTTGCTGGAGGCCATTCGCTGTGAGGAGAAGAGTCATTATAATACTTAAGTTTACCTTTAATACTATTCCCAGTATCAACAAGGCGCCATTGCCCTCCAGCTGTTTTGTATACAGAATAGTACCAATATCGTGAACTTTTGTAAACACAACTGTGTTTGTGCTTAGTGTTCTTGTCTACTTCATATATTCCCAAATAACGATCAATAAGAGTAAGGAGAGCTAAATAACTACTTCTTCGGATGTTTTCTGCCGACGCAGTTACGACAATTTCGTCTTTGAACTTGCTCCTGTCTAGTGCTTTCCACGGTTGACTAATGAACTCTTTGCAATCCAAACTTTCGAGAGTGATTAATTGATCAGCCCTCAACGTGTAGTCATGCTCGCACCACTTTTGTTCTTTAGTAAACATTTCCCAGCCACTCAGTGGAGGCAATTCCAATGTTGTTTTAGTGTTTCGAGAAGTCCTGTTCCTCAAGACACAGTTGCCTTTCAGTTGCCAATCCCGATGTCTGTTGGAAACAGAAGAACAGTACCAGCCGTCATCGCTTATATAGTACAAAAAACAGTCATTAAAACCGAATTCAGCACCCATCACTTCATTTTTAAGCTTTCTAGTGTAGAAAATTGGCATTTCATCAGTAGTTCGTATGAAATCCAAACGGGATAGGGATAAGAAACTCCCTCGTACATGTTTAAATAACCTAATATCTATTGTTTTCTGAAGTTTTTTTTCTTCAATCGACGTAATCGGTTTATCCGACGCGAACTCAACATCTCCGTCGCATTTGTCAAAAGATTCTGTTATTTTACTGTTGTCCTTTTTTCGGATGCCCAATTTGACCACAGCAGGGTTTTGGGGATCCGACGCGAACTTAACATCTCCGTATTCTGATTTGTAAAAAGATTCTGTTATTTTACTGTTGTCCTTTTTTCGGATGCCCAATTTGACCACCGTAGCGTTTTGGCGACCGTCAGGTATTAAATCGGAGTCGTACTTGATTTCAAAACATTCTTCAAGTCTTCTCGATAAGCAAGTATACTTTTTTCCTTCAGATATGTATGGATACGCAATCTTCAGCAGTTCGTTTTTGATTATATGCAATTCATCCTGTTTCGAGTCCTTTTTCAGGCTGAAAAATCCTACTTGGACCGTTCTGTGATACTCAAGAAAATTTTTGCAGTCTCGTTCGAGCTCAATCGCGATAGCCTTTTGTTTTTTATCGTCAAGAACATAAAAGGGCTCGATTGTGTGGCTGTTTTCGTCATACGAGTAAATGCAAAGTTTGGCTAAAAGTATAATTCGCGTGGCTGTCGACACTTGTCGTAAGTGATCCAGTTCATTTCCCTGGCCTTTAGCATAGTGAAAGGCTGTTTGGGCGTCATCTTTTGCCCCTTCAAACTCCTTCACTGCTCTGCTTATTTGCTCATTTTCGAGAAGATTCATGGCACTCAATGTTTTATCGACTGCTGTCTTCAATGGAGTTGAGAGGATGATTCCGACCATTTTTTTAAATTCCTCCAGTGTCTTTTTTATCTGTGCCAGTGCAACTCCAGTTAGATCCAAGGAAGAAAACGAGCTTCCAACTCCGATGACATGGTAGGAAAACTCGATGAGAGCCACGTTGCTTAAAATGTAAGCCAATTTCTGTGCCGTTTCACCTAAGCAAAAAAAAAACAATTTATTCACGCACAAACGCTCCAATTATCTATGCTACGCAAGAAACAAGAAAAGAGAAAAAAATTTTAAGTATCAACGTAATAGAAAAACTTACTCAAATAACAACGTAATAGAAAAATTTACTCAAGTAACAAATAATAGAAAACTTTTTAGCAGGAGTATGAAGCGGATCAATGAAGGATTAAAATTATGCTACCAATAATTGTTCCGAGAAAAACAAATTTATAAGAAGACTGCTCGTGTAAGGTTGTAGCCCTCAATATTACAGTAGTCGCTTGAGTTCTGTCATCCGGAAAAACTTATATATATAACAAACTATGTTGAGTGAATCTACTGTTTGGTCGATTGACTTTGTAAAGGCTTTAGCCAGTGAACTTTATGAGCAGAAGCTCAGACCTCAATAGTTGATTTTTTGGATATTGCTTATCAACCCGTTTGGATTGAGTAACCAAGACGCTCATACATTGCGGTATGGTTTGGCGCAGTCAGCCAGATATTCTACAAACCCGTTAAAAATTATTACATTTTGGGAGAAGGTGTCAACTGAACAACCATTAGAGTGATCTGAATGGGCAGCAATAATTGGGATGGCAGTGTTTGCAAAAGATGGGATCGAGGTACGAGATTTGCTAAGAGCTAAACCAGCATTAAGCGAACCCACAGAACCCATTTATGAAGTCGAAATAACTGGTAAGACGAATGCGCAGAAGAAAAACCGTGACGTAAGAAACCACGAGAAGCGAGTCGATTGGGAAAACTGCGTGCAGAAAGCCATAGGAAAAGGAGTGTTGTGTAACTCATTCCCTTGGGACAAAGCGGATGCTAAAAATCACAATTATTTTTTTCTGTGTCTCGGCGCGGGGGGACAGCGCCAGGTTCAACAAAAAAAGCCTAGCCTCCATTTGCACAGTGTCTCTACAAAAGAACTTATTACGAACTTATAAGATATCTTCGAGACCACAAGGATTATATCGTATGAATGGTACAAATTAATCTATAGAAAACAAAAGAAAACTGAAAGTCTAGAACAATTTATTGCGGTTCTAATTGAACTGGCGTCCTGCGCCGATTACTGAGATCGCAAAGACGTTTGGGTGAAAGACATGTTTACCACTTATACGCACAATGACAAAATCGCAAAAGAATTTTTAGCTGAAAGGCGGAGCCCTCCTGATGCTTAGGAATAAGCAATCGGCCGAGAAAAAGGTATCAAACATAGTTAAACAACGAAAACTAATCCATTGGAAGAATGAATAAAAACATCGACAAAGCAAGAACCAATACATTACATCAACCCACGAGGTAGAGATAATTACACAAATAATCAAAACTCACAAAGAGGTCGAGGCGGATTCGGCGGTTGACTATATCCACGTGGAACCTACCCAAAACACATGAGGTCAACAATCAAAAACCAACTACAAAACACAAAATCAAAGTTTTAATGCGGCAGACACTTCGGTCCAAACCATTTACAATCGTGCTAAGCAAAAGTCAAAGTTTGCTCAAAATGCTCCAAACGGGAAAGTATGCAAATATACGAACGTCAACTACCTGGATGATCGAAATGACGAACAGAATGAAGAAAACAAAACAGACAATGACCCAGTTTTGTTTGCAGAGTTTGCATGAATATTAATTGGACAATTTTTCGGTTATGGTAATTTCAGAAGCATTCGAAGTAAAAAACTGGGTCAGATTAACGGAAGATGATCTTATGGGACACATTGTAGAATTGAAATTTAAATGGAGGCTATATTCGCCATTACCGACTCAGTAAGCCCCATGTCTTTCCAAAACAAAAAAACCGCTCTGCGACTGCAGAAAATTACAAATCAACAATATTTAAATATATTCCACCGGAAGACGCCCGTCGACATTTGGCATTTAACAATAGTGAAAACGTAATTCCTTAAGAAAGAATAAAAGTCGCGATAGAATCCGGAGGCTGAACAAAACAGCCTCCGGATTCAAAAAGCAAACAAAATAAGTAGAAACATACTACCACAAATTGGGATCAAGTCGATACAAGAAAAAAAAGAAATGACATCAAATGTTAACTTTACAAGAAACGGAAAAAACAAACATGGAAGTCAAACTGTGGCTCAAAGAGAATTTCAAACATGTGTGCGGCAAGCGGAAAATCGAAAAATCACACAAATCATCAAATACGCAACTCCCATTCAGCAAAAAGGTCGCCGAATTCCAAAACAGTTGCAGGAATGGATTGAAAAGGAACCCAAAATACTCATGAATCAAAATCACATAAATAAATTAAGCAAATATTCAGATCGACAATTTTTTAGCCTAATCGTTGTAACCGTGAAAAAGGATCAAACAGTCAAGTTGGATTTGGAATCTAGAATGATCAAAAAATTGATCCACAATAAGAAATACCAGATGCCAAACATAAAGCTCCTTTTGAACTCAATTACAGAAAAAATTAGACGAATAAAACGAATAAAATCTTGCGATACCTCTCGAAAAATGAAGGTTAGCATGCAATAAATGGGTAAAATATCAACAGTGAGGGAACTAAACCACTCATAGAAAAAGGCTATTGAAAAATTATCACCATCAAAAAAGTTTTAAGGGATCTAAACATCACCTAACACGTTACATCCCTTAGATCCAACATGCCGCCGCCATACGTCCACTGCTCAAAAACACATAAAAGAACAAACCAACTGAATGGAAATCAGAACGCAACTTTACAATCAGTAATATTTTTAAATTGTTTTCACAAATAACTCAAAATAAACATTTTGACCCAAACTTGGTTACCAGCGTTGTATGCGGTGCTTCTAGGCTTAAGGGCCGCTTTTGAGCGAATTTCGCCGGAAATTTGGGTGGTCTTGGCATATGCTTTAACTGTCATACATTCTCTAAAGGAAAATATTTGGTTAACAAGCTAGAATTGTTCGGGGTAGTTTGGGCCATCGAACATTTCGAATTATAGCTATACGGAAAACATTTTACCGTCATCACGGATCATCAAGCTTTAATCAGCGCAGTAAACGGAAGTGAAAGATCAAAAAACAGTCAAAGTAGGCTAACCCGATGGATTGACAGGCTAATTCCCTTTAACACCTGCCAGTGAAAAAAATGGGAATAATGGACTATATGTCAAGAAATCCGGTGGGATACGCAACACGCCGATGCGCATAGGATAAGGAATTGGTAGTACCATCAATTATTTCATTCAATAACAGTGTTGAAATGATTGACAACTTCATATGAAAAATCTAGCCAATCAGAATAAGGCACTATATGGGTTGCTATATTAGGCACTATATAAGCGCGCGGAAAAGAAAACAACCCTAACTAGCCCTTCAAGCTTCAAACTCTCAATAAATACTAAAACGTTTCGCAAATACTGAAAGCGGTTATTCTCAAACATTCAAACCAAATCAGTTATGGTTAAAACCAACTCAAATACAGTCAACTAAAATTAGTCTTCAAAATAATTCAACCAGAGTAAATACTCCGAGCGAATGAGTAGACAAAGGGACATGAAGGGAATCAAAAGTGGCTTCCTTCCGGATGAAGTGAAAACGCTTTAAACAGTAGGCAGGAGCAAAATACAGTGGCAGGGCTCATCGGACAGAGAGGAGAGCTTGTCCGAACCTCGGTAGCACAAGCGGAAAATAGCCACAAGGAAACCAAAATCAGTCTACCTACGCCCGCCAACAGCAGTTAAAGACGCACAAGAACTTCTATCAGCACAACACAAAAATCAATCAAATCGTCTGAAAATTGTGTTTAGCGATTAAACACCAGTCACCGTTACACAATCATCATCAACACCAAAGAAAATGTCTAACCAAGCAACGCAAACAGAAGAAATCGTGGTGGCAGCCGTCACCCAATTTGAACTCTCCATCGAAATGCAGGAGAAGTACGAATACTGTGTGAGCCGTGTGGACCCAATTCAATGCGGTCAAAAGGAACTCAATCAGAACATTGAGCCTCTCACCATGACGAACATGATGCGTACGCCGACTAATAAACTTTTTGAAAAAACGAGACTGGGAGGCCATAAAGACTTCGTTCGAGAATCCAGCTGGCACAAAGCTGTAGACATTGTACAAAACAATTGAAAAATTTCAAACCAATAGCAGGGAAACAACACTCGTTCCAAATGAAGCCTGTGATCAAACCAAATGAAGAAGTACAGTTTAATTTTGCCGGGCTCCTCCCCGAAGAACTAAATAAGGACGCAAACATCTTAGTCGCGATAGATAAATGGTCAAAATTCCTCACAGCAAAAATACTATCAAACACACAAAATTTATGCAACAATACATCTCAAACAACGGGGTACCACGACAGTTAAGGCGTGACCAAGCACAAACCTTTAGAGCCAAAAAATTTGACCGTTTTGTAACACAAATGAAATCAAATTCTTTTTTCATCGGAAGACGATCATAGAGCATTAGGAGTGGTAGAAAGAATGATTCAAACACGTAAACGTAGATTAGGTGTAAATAAAAATAAAAAAGAAAACGCACCACATAAATTTGCTTCGATGGAGCCGAATTATTAAAAACAGTAAGTGTCACACCACACGGAGTAACCACAATTTCACCGTTCGAAGTGTAACATTCGCTCAAGTTTTACGCAGTGACAGAGCGTGGAAAAAGCACCTATTGACGACTGGCAGGCGTCAGTTACCTTAATCATACTCGTTTTAAACCATCCAGACCTAGCCATTTATTTTTTTGGTTTTTTAGCGCTAAGTAAAGAGTTACCATTTTTAGGCCATCAATCAAACGACTTTGATCAGCTTTTGTTCACACGCAAAAATAGCCGCACAGCTGGAATGCCCAGACTACGTGGTTGCCATTAAAAACACGGCTTGGAATCCCTTTTTTACTATGTTTGGTGACAGTTATATAAAAGATTAATTGGAGAAGGATTGACTCTTTCCTCAATCTAACTCCTCATGCTCTGAAATATTATACAAAATCGGAGTTAATTA